TGACTGCATTGCTTACTTTAGAGTGTTTAATTGAATTTAAAATACAAAACAAGCAAAAGATATTTCTGATTAACTACTGGTTCAATGGAAAGTTTTGTTAACCACAAACACCTCATCCAACAGCAGTGGTTCTCAACCTTCTGGCCCTTTAAATACTCTTCCTCGTGTTGTGACCCAAACATACAATTATTTTCGTTGCAACCTCATAACTATAATGTTGCTACTGTGATGCATCATAATGTAAATATCTGATATGCAGGATGGTCTTAGGGGACGCCTGCGAAACGGTCGTTCGACCACCAAAGGGTCGCGACCCACAGATTGAGAACCGTTGTCCACAGCACAGCCCTTCCTGGGGGAGTTTCCACGTCACTGTCAGGGTTTTGGCTGGTGACGCGGCTGCGAAAGGATTCACAAGGGAGAGAAGAGACAGGAGCAGACAGAGGGCCTTTATTTTACTTCTTTAAAGGGAGGAAAGGGCCAGGTGCCCTCTAATGGCACAAGGCACCCCAGATAGAGGGGCTGCTCCTTTATTAGGGTGCTAGCGAGTAAATGGCAGCTGTGGCAAAAGCATGAAGAGGGAGGAGGAACCTGGAATTCACACAGAAGTTTCCCAGCTCCCAGAGGCTGTGCTTAGAGCTACTGGCTGGTCTGCCCTTCAGCTGCAGGTGTCCCAGGGAGGGGTCTCTCCCGGGATCTTCACAAGCCGGGAGCACATTCTTACAGTAAAGTTACAGAGAATTCAAAAGGCGGGCAGATTGGGTTTGAAACCAGAAACTTTCTGCTTTCGATTTGCCTGGGTCATAAATCCTCAGACCAGGGGAGGGAAAGGACAGCATTTTCAAGTTAATTAACACAATCATAGGAGGGGACTTTAACTTCCCATTGACATCAATGAATAGATCTCCCAGAGAAATAAATCAGTAAGGAAAAAGTGCTCTTAAATGACACATTAGACAAGATGGATTTTATGTTTATAGTTGCGATTTTCTTTTCTTTTTTAAAAATATATTTTATTGATGTTTTACAGAGAGTAAGGGAGAGTTAGAAACATCAATGAGAGAAACATAGATCAGCTGCCTCCTGCACACCCCCCAGTGGGGATGTGCCCACAACCAAGGTACATGCCCGACCAGAATCAAACCTCGGACCCTTCAGTCCACAGGCCCACGCTCTATTTATTCACTGAGCCAAACCTGTTAGAGCCAGCTGTAATTTTCATCAGGAGTGTCACACGGGCTACTGGTGTGCTGCAAACATTTTTAAAACAATTTAAAAATTGTTTTAAAAACAATTAGTGACTGCTTAGTCAATAACAAAGACTACATTACCCATAGATTACCAAATAAAATAAGTGACAAAAGCAAACACAGTAATACCTGTGTGGTGTGTATGGATCAAAATGAGACATTTTTTTTTTAGCAGACTAACAAATTATATATTTTGGTGGACCACTCAGTTTCAGTATTTAGTTCACGTGTGCCATGAAAATAAAATGTAGAAATCTCTGGTCAGGTTGTGAGTATACGAAATACTTTTGCATCTAAAAACAGAAAAGGTTTCAACTGCAAAGCTGCCATGGTCTCTGGGTTGCCTCTAGAAAAAATGAAGAACATTAGGCTACATTCAAGAGAGATCAGAACCCTTGCTGGTTTGGCTCAGTGGATAGAGCATCCATCTGTAGACTAGAGTCCCAGGTTCGATTCTGGCCAAGGGCACATGCCTGGGTTTGCAGGCTCGATCCCCAGTGTGGGGTGTGCAGGAGGCAGCCGATCAATGATTCTCTCTCATCATTAAA